TGTGAGATCAGGTATGGGTTTATAACCTGTGTTACTTGGGGATGTGGTAACAAGCGGCTGAGGGAGGCCAGGTCAGATAGAGCTAGTAGGTTTTTGCCCCCTCAGATGCTGACTGTCAAGCCGCTCCCGTCTCATTCATCTACTCACCCATTCATTCATTTATTTTCTTTATTTTTTGCAATAAAGGCAATGATATCAGTTGCATGCCAACTATACGTACAACAGTGGGTAAGATAAACATATATATGTGTTTATTGTATGTTAATATGAGAATCTTCCTGTGTATGTTTCAGCTGAGCCTTGAAGCTAAGAGATGCCACATTCTTAAGTGAATACATTGTAGAAATTTGAAAGGAGGTGGGATAGATCTCTTGCATCAATGTCTCCAATCTTTCACCCCTTCTTGTATCCCTCCACTTTGCCTTTCAGTGCTCTGCCACGCTGACTCTAGACTTGTAGACCTGGCTACGTGACTGGGTTTGGTGATTGGGGTATTGGCAAATATCTTGTTCTGTAAACAAGGTTACAGAACTGGTTTAATCTCACAGAGCTGGTAACTAGTAAAATTTTAAAAAGTTGAATTCAAGTCTGTCTGGCATCTAATCACTGTATTTTTCTGCCTCATACCTTAAGTTTGGGTTTGCTTTGTTTGAAAAAAAGAAATCTCAAGCCATACTTTGTTCATGACACAAGCATGACACAAGCAGAGGCTTAAAAAGCTAATTGAACTTGCCCACACTCTTGCTCCTCTGTCATTGCCATGGGAACGTGTCCAAGCAAGCCTTCTGGAGGATGAAAGACACATAGGGCAATTGCCCCAACCAAGCCCCAGCCCAGATCCGGAAATGGCCAGTTGACCCCCAGATATACGAGCAAGTTCAGATTAACAGAACCCTAGTCGTCCACACGAAGGACACAGGCAATAAACATGCACATTGTTGTACACCATGGAGGTTTTGAGGTTGTTACACAGAATTCTTGCGATAGCTGATAAATTTTATAATAGTTAGATAACCAAGGGAGTAAAAGTGGAAGAAGAGAGATTAGGAAAATTTCTCTGAAAAAAGTTGTACTCTGTGCCCCACCCCCAAGCCAAGAATCCGGATTCCAGCAGGACCACTCAGAAAACTGTAGTTTGGGGGATTCAGGCAAGGGATGTGCCGGCTGGCTGTTGACAGGTAAGCTGGAGGAGACGGACTCCAACGATAGCCACCTGCAAGCCCAGAAGTTGTTAGCGCAAAGGATGTATGAGAGTTTTCCTCGTACTAGAGTTGGGTTGCTCAACCTTGGTGCTATTGACATTTGGGGGTGGATCATTCTTTGCTGTGTGGGGCTGTCCTGTGCCTTGTACGACGCTTAGTAACATTCCTGGTCACTATCTACCAGATGCCGTTAGTTGTGACAACCAAAAACGTTTCCAGATATTGCCAAATGTGCCCTGGAAGACAAAATCACCCCCATTCAGACACTGTACTAGAGAGACGCTAGCTGAAGGTACTGCCAAATTCCCAAGGGCTGTAGAAGAAGTAAGTGACCGGCCAGAATACAGGTATCTCCAGCAGCAGTCAGGAGACAGCTGGTGAGAGACCTCCAGCCACTGGGAGGTGAAGCATGTCCAAAGAGCCAACCAGAATACCATAAGACAGAAAGATTCTATTTTAATTATCTGTCAAGCTTAGAGAGCTTGGAGCCACCTCCCTAACAGTGTCCATTAAATAATATTCTGCTCCCCTGGTCACCTCCATCTGGCCTCTCCTCTCTAACCTGGAAGGGTCAGAAATAACAGGGAGTCAGACAGAAAGTGTAGGAAATGTAGGAAAGCAGGAATGTAGGAGAAGGAGATGTAGGAGAAGCTGACCGCAGCCCTCTTCATCTGTTGTCGGCTTCTCTCTTAGACTTGGCTAGGACTGGAGGAAGGGGAGAAGTCTTAACTGTGAGTTAGAACTGACTTACAGGTTACTATCAGGCAGTAGGCCTTCTACTTTCTGAAACTAGGCTGTTAGTTATTGAAAAGAATTGTTGGGTTTTATACTACCTACGAGTGACCAGAAAAGTCAGCAGATACCTGAGTTGTTATCTAGCGGCAAGAAAACCAGCTGCTGTGAATAGGTTTAAAGGGGCAGTGGTGGCAGGATGTTGCTCTGTGGTTAATTTCCATTCATCTCCATTGTTCAAAGGACCAGATACACATGCCACTTGGTAGAATTCCTTGTGCCCACAAGATCACGATCCATTCCATTTCTGCCAGCCCCATTAGTACTGGCATACACCCAGCATCCTCCACTCCCTTGCAAAACAGCCCTCCACACACTGAACGCATATGCGACAACACCAGACAACACAACCACCCACAGACGCCAAGCACCACAAAGCTGAACGCTGACTGTTTGGGACATTGGCTTGAGTCATGCCAGGCCCCTCAGAACACTAAACAGTGATGCTGGGTATAACCAGACAGTAGTCCTAAGGACTGTCCTTCTTGGGTGGCCGGCTCCCAGTCTGTGCCGGGAGCAGTGACTGCATTTTGAAATCCTCCCCAGCACACGCCTCCCACCCCAACCGGTCTCCTTGAATAGCAGCCTTGTGGCGAGGTCACAGAGCCACTAGTCATCAGTCAGCAAGGCAGGTCCTCTGCCGCCTTGGGCTCCCAGGGGGCGAGCGCCATGAATCACAGAAGTGTCCTCCCCTAGGAGCCAGGGTGACGAGGTCCTGTAATTTATCTCACATGAAATGAGCTGGATTATTTGACTAGGCTGGAGGAAAGCAGTCCATTAATTCTCAGAGATAGCTCTTGGCTGTTAAGGATTTTATTCTGAGCGCCCACCACTGACACCCCGCCTCTGTCCCCTTTCCTGAACCCTCGTGGCATGCCGAGGGCTCGACTCGCAGCCCCCTGATAGCTTGATGCTAAAACAAGGCCCAAGACCACCCTTCATGCAGGGAGAATAAAAAGGTCACTTAGCCTTTTAGTGCTTTATCATTAACCCCCTTGTTCTTGCCCTCTCACTACTCCCAGCCAACTCCCACCTTCCAGTAAAAGATCATTTCATTTGACACCAGAAGCACAATCCATGAAAGGAAAAACTGATAAAACTGAACTTCATGAAAATAAAAAATTTTACCCTGGAAAAAAAACTACCTGTGAAGAAAATGACAAGCCAAGCCACAGAGTGGGAGAAAATACACACTACACTACATAGTCAACAATGGACTCAGATATAAAGTAAATAAAGGACTCTCAAAACTCAGCAATAAAAAACAAACGATCCAATTAGAAAACAGGCATCACACACGAATAGACATTTCACTGCAAAGGATATACAGACGCCAAACAAGCACATGAAAGCATAATCAACATTATTAGCCATTAGGGAAATACAAATTAAAGCCATAATAATATAGCATCAGGCACGTATTAGAACTGTTAAAATGAAAAATAGTGATGACACCTAATGCTGGTGAAGATGCAGAGAAATGGGGTCACTCATACACTGCTGGTGGGGCTGTAACACGGTTCAGCCACCCTGGAAAGCAGTTTGGCGGCTTCTAGAAACTAAGCATGTCCTTACTGTATGACCCAACATGGTACTCCTGTGTGTTTATCCCAGAGAAATGAAAAAACAAAATTTTTTTTTGGCCATACCACACAGTATGTTGGATCTTAGTTCCCCAACCAGGGATCGAACCCACGCCCCCTGCATTGGAAGCGTGGAGTCTTAACCACTGGACCACCAGGGAAGTTCCAGAAATGAAAATTTATGTCAAAAAAAAAAAACCTGTACTTGAACGTACATAGAAGTTTTATTTACAATAGTCAAACAAACTGGAAACAACTAAAATGTCCTTCAACAGGTGAACTGTTAAACAAACAGTGGTACATCCTCACCATGGAATACTACACAGCCATAAAAAGGAATGAACCACTGACACATGTAACAACTTAGATGGATCTCAAGGGCATTCTGCTGAGTTAAAAAAATCAGCCTCGGGGAATTCCCTGGTGGTCCAGTGGTTAGGACTCAGCGCCTTCACTGCCGAGGGCCCGGGTTCAATCCCTGGTCGGGAACAATGATCCTGCAAGCCCTGTAGTGTGGCCAAAAAAAAAAGGGGAAAAAGAAAATCAGTCTCAGAAGGCTAAATACTGCATGACTGTATTTAACACCTTGAAATAACAATATTATACAGAGAGATAACAGAGACATGGTTGATAGGGGCCATGGGGGTGGTTATAAAGCAGTTGCACAAGGGAGACTGGTGGTGATGAAACAATTCATATCTTGATTGCAGTCACGGCTACACAAATGTACATGTGTTAAAATTGCAAAGAACTATACATATACGCACACAAATGAGTATATGTCAAACTACTGAAAGCTGAATAAGTTTTGTGGGTGGACGTTTGTACCAATGTCAATTTCCTGGTTTTGATATTATACTCTAGCTATGCAAGATGTTACCATTCGGGGAAAATAGGTCTTCCCTGTATATATATATTTTTTCTTTTCTTGTAACTTTCTATGAGTCTCTAGTGATTTCCAAAAAAAAAGTTTCTAAAAAAATGTTAATTGTCTGGAATTCCCTGGTGGCACAGTGGTTAAGAATCCACCTGCCAATGCAGGGGACACGGTTTCGAGCCCTGGTCCGGGAAGATCCCACGTGCCGTGGAGCAACTAAGCCTGTGCGCCACAACTACTGAGCCTGCGCTCTAGAGCCCAAGTGCCACAACTACTGAGCCCATGTGCCACAACTACTGAGCCTGTGCTCTAGAGCCCGTGCTCCACAACAAGAGAAGCTACCGTAATGAGAAGCCTGCCCACCGCAACGGAGAGTAGCCCCTGTTCACCACAATTAGAGAAAGCCCACGTGCAGCAACGAAGACCCAAGGCAGCCAAAAATAAATAAATAAATAAAATGTTAAGCATTGTTTTTCTAAAGATGATTTCCTTTCTAATCACAGTAAAGACAGTTTCAAAGATAATTCCATTTGGATTTGTTTATTATTTTCAAATTATAATTTGGATTCAGTTACAGAACTTCCTTCCCTAGAAATTAATCTTATTCTTTCTCTGTCTTGGAGCATCCTGGTCTCTTGGAGTAAATTATATGAAAAAGGGTCCTGTAAACAGGAGGTAAGCATTATTATTATTATTAGTTGCTTCTTCTATATGCGGTGTCTGAAGGATGAGCAGCTTCATCCTGGAACAAAACAGAGCCCTGTAAGAAAGATTCTCTGTGCTGAGTCACAGAGAAGGAAACTAGAGTTAATACAAATGTAAATTCTGCTTTTTTTCCCAAAGAAGAAATAAGTGCTTCTCCCCATTATGACAGGCCCAGCATCAGAAAAGAAGCAAGAATGTTGTATACAAGGGGCTATTAAGATGAGGCTAGCCTGTGAAGAGTTTATCTTCACAGGTCCAAACCCCAGCCCTACCATGTTCCAGCTCTGTGATAGTGGCCATGTGACTTTGCATCTCTGCCTCTGTCTCATCCTCTTTGAAATAGGAATAAAAATACCCCCTACCCCATATGTTTGTCCTAAGAATTGATGACATACCCTTACAAAGACATAGCCAGGGCTTGGCACATAATACATGCTCTGTAAATGCTGGGACCTAAGCCTCCTACAGCAGAAAAACTAAAAATGTTAAGTTGAAGAAGTTGACCACACCCAACTATGAATTCCCTCTTTCTGTGGACCCTGCCCAAATCTCCCACTGTGACCTACCTGGACCCCAAGAGTCACCATATTCCAGACCTTTCCCTCCCTTTCCCTTTTCAAAAACTTACTCTTCATAGGACCCAATTCCTCCTGATGTAAATGGATGGAGAAGCAGAGCGTTGAGCAGGTGTGGGCGGTACCCTGTGATGTAGGCCCAGAAGCACAAAAAGGGAAACAGAAAAGACAAGACAGTTTCCGTTCAGGCTCTTCCTGGCGCAGCCACGGGACCCAGGGCCGGTCCCTCTACCTCCCAGGCTAGTGTCCTCACGGGATATGAGAAATGAGAGGGCAGACCAGCTCAGAGGTCTACAAGCTTTTTCTGTAATGGGCCAAAAGGCAAACACTTTAGGCTTTGGGGGCCTATGTGGTCTCTGTTGTAACTTCTCATCTCTGCTGCTATCAGGAGAGCAGCCACAGACAGTATGATGAGTGTGTCTGGGTTCTAATAAATTTTTACTTGCAAAAACAAGTTTGGCCTGCCAGCTATAGTTTGTTGACCCTGATCTAGATCAGTGGTCCCAAATTATTTCCCTACTGGGAAACCCTTTCATTAGCCATCACCTAATAGATGCCATACTTAGAAATATTGTATCTATCAAATCCACTGCATTTTCTGGATAGAATTAGTTCTCCAACTGAATTATAATATACTATATGATATCTATTATATATTTGCACAGTAATAAGCTCTGATTTATATGTATATATATAAACATATATATAATGCCAACCAGAGCTTTCTAGTTGCAGGCAAGAACCAGTATTAACACACTAGGTTAATATATTTCTAACCAAAAGAGTAAAACCTGACATTCAAGTTAACCTATTTGACCTAAACATGTATAAATATAGGTGCAGAAAACCACTCACAAATCTCCTAATAAAAACGTCAAAACAGCCTAGAGGTCTGGGGGTCCCACGGAGTCAGACCTTTCATGTCACCTTCTTTAATGACAGAGCATTGGTTTGTGATTAACAGTATGGCTTTGGATTGGGCTCATCTCATTTCTGGGTCTCTTTTTCTGCCTCCTGAAGAGGGTGCAGTTGGATGGTCTCTAGGGCCTTGCTGTCCCTGTCATTTTGTCATTCTAAGACCCTAATCCTTCAAAGTCGTTTGTTAGTTTGGGAGTCAGCTCCCCCAGGTAACAGCATATTATAAATACCATCAAAACCCAGATCTCCTTCCTAAGGACACTTCAGGATGATTCCTGAAGCCTATTCGGTGTCAACCCTCAGGCTTCAGCCCCTGAGAGGGAACAGGGATGTTTCAGTTAAAGCTGGTTTATATGAATTCTTCCAGTGATACCACAAAGCCTGGTCCTGCCCCATCAGGCTTCAAATTCAAAGCATTTTCTGAGCATTCCCCTGAGTGAGCCCAAATCTCTGATCACTAGGAAAGTACACTGATTTTTTTTTTTTTTATGAGGCTGCAGACTCCCTTCTGCCTGAAGGGAGTTCATGGAAACACGTTAACTCAAACACAATAAACAAAAATGCAGTCCTGTGTCTCCCGCTCTGGCAACTCATTCCTACCATCCTGAGTACCCAACATACAACTGTGTTCCATGATCAGAGAAGCATGGGTAGAAAGCCCAAAGGTCAAAAGAGAGGCCAAGTAGGAACAGCCGACACACTTCCCTGGCAGGGGATAAAGCCTGGTGTGCTGGCAGTCAGGAAGCATAACTCTGTGCATGGGATGCAGTGGAAAATACCACGGGGCTGCATTCTAAATATGACCGACACACACACATTTTGGAAGAATTAAGGTTGTGAATCAAACCCCACCTCCCCACATGTACCCCACCCCTAGTCTTCTTATCTACCAACGCTAAGACACTTTGCAAATTCTCTTTCATAGTTGTTCCTCCTAATTTTTATGCTTCTAACCGAAGTCAGGAAACTTCTTCTGTAAGCGCCAGAGAATAAATATGTTAGGCTTTGTGGGATGTATGGCATCTGTCACAACTACTCAGCTCTGCCGTTGTGGCCTGAAAGCAGCCACAGACAACAGGAAACGAATGGGTGTGGCGGAAGTCCAATCAAGCTTTATTTACAAAAACAGGTGGCTTGCTGGGTTTAGCCCACCGGCTATAATTTGTGGACACCTGCTCTATAATAATACTTAGTGGGTTTTTTCCCCAGCAAAAGCCTATGCAGGAGGTACCTTTATTATCCCCACTTGACAGGCAAGGAATCCAAGGCACCAAAACAGGAAATACTTGCCAGGTCCCACAGGTAGTGAGTGCCTGTGCTGGGCGCACACGGAGGAATCTACCAGCTAGACCCATAACTACAGTCTCAGGACCGTCTCCTTGGGCGACGCCTTGCAGCTGCCTGTTCATCCACCCTGAGGGCTCCCGACCTCTTCGAGGGAGCTGCAGCCACAGCGTGGTATGGCCATTCTTCTGCCTCTGTGCAGAACTGTCCCTAACCTCCCCCCTGCCAGACAAGAAAGAGCTATATATATATCATGCCCTCTAGGTCATCTCTACAGGTGGTCCATTGGCAGGAAGAATAAATTGATGGGTTTTACCTCTGCAGTAGGAACTTCGTGGCTAACACCCTCCTCTTCAGTGACCCAGGTTAGAAAATAACCCAGAAACCAAGAAATCATCACCTGGCCTGACTTGTGGGCATGGTGCCTGTTCATCCCAAAGTCCTCTCTCTTCCACCTCCAGAATCTATTTAGTTCATTTGACCGTAATCATTTTTCCCCATCATTGACATGACCACTTATGTAAAAATCTTTTATACTGATTTATCTTGAGAGGATCAGTAACTTGTTCATTCTTACAGGTACCATTCTGTATAATACTCTTCTCTGTGGCCAGTTATACCTAGTGCCATGGCTTCCTCTGGAAATCAGTAACTGTCAGCCGTCAATGGATGGCTGTTGGAAATTTTCCCTCCCAAGCTATCATTTGAAGATGGCTGGCTCGGGGCTGGCTCACAGGGGTTCCTTTTAACTGCTGGGGCCACCTTTGTGAATCTTTTAAAGGCACTGACTATCTCCCGGCCTCACTCTGATGCATTTCCCCAAGGCCTCAGGTTTCTCTTCTCCAGGCTCCATACATACATACATCAATACTAGGATTTTTTAATTAGCTCTGTGAAACATAGACTTAAAATCAAACCCCCCAAAAGAAGCTAGGGCTCATGGAGTAAAGTAACTTGGATGTCTACCTGGATATATGGACTGAATCCTGATTTCTAGCATGACCACAGTCCGGCAGCCAAGAAGACCATTTGCCACCAGTACCTGCCTAGGTTTCACAGGTCCTACCAAGCTGCGGTTTGGAAGTTGGCCTTCCCATTCCCAGTTTGCTGATTTCCTCTTGAGTTAAGGGGAACGAGAAGGGGGCTGCCTGACCAAGCTCTGACTGAGTCTAGAGAATCAGACCTTTGGGGACGAATGTGCCAGTGATGGCAGCTCCAGCAATCCCATTAGGGATTTCCAAGGCCCCCTCGAGATTCAGAACCAACATCTCCTGGGGTTCTGAGTGCCTACGCCAGAGCTAAACATATCTGTACAACTCAAGTTCAGCCCAAGACCACAGAGAGCCTTTGCAGCTACCTGCTCTTCAAGGAAGAATCGCTTTAAGCTCTGACTCTGCTCACCACCTCAAACAGAGTCCTCCTCTTAGGAAAACACAGAAGTCATCGTTGAAAAATACTCAGGGAATCGCTCCTGCCCACACTCCGGAAGCTGCAAAATAATGCAAAAATGTCAAAAAGACATCAATAGAGGTCTTTCAAGGGCAATCTTCATACCACAGATATCACCCAGTTTCTGAACAGCTATCTAATGTGAGAGAGGCGGCTGTATTGTTAGACTCAGATAGATATAGATAGATAGATAGATGATAGATAATAGACAAATACATACTACATACATACATACATAGATGATAGATAATAGATACATACCTACATATATAGATGATCAATATGTACATACATACATTATAGATAGATATAGATAGATAGAAAATGGACAGATACATATATACATACATACTTACATACATAGATGATAGATAGACCCATACAACAGGTATACACAATTTTTGTGAATTATCTGAAGGCAATGTACAAATGTTTTCAGCTCTAACAAAGATGAAAAAACATGACATGAACTCCTAGTTTCTGTGGGGACTGAGAAAAAGCTAAACAGTCCCTTCTCTGGTACTTTTTTTTTTTTTTTTTGCGGTACGCGGGCCTCTCACTGCTGTGGCCTCTCCCGTTGCGGAGCACAGGCTCCGGACGCGCAGGCTCAGCGGCCATGGCTCACGGGCCCAGCCGCTCCGCGGCATGTGGGATCCTCCCAGACCAGGGCACGAACCTGTGTCCCCTGCATCGGCAGGCGGACTCCCAACCACTGTGCCACAAGGGAAGCCCCCTTCTCTGGCTCTTAATGAACAATTTTAATAAATTCAATATAACCTGCATCAATTAAGCCCCTTCCGTGTACATGGCTCCATGCTAAGAAATGAACGAGCATAGTGCCTGCCTTAAAAATCTAGCAGAGGGCTTCCCTGGTGACACAGTGGTTAAGAACCCACCTGCCAATGCAGGGGACACCGACTCGAGCCCTGGTCTGGGATAATTCCACATGCCGCAGAGCAACTAAGCCTGTGCACCACAACTACTGAGCCTGTGCTCTAGATCCCAGAAGCCACAACTACTGAGTCTGTGTGCCACAGCTACTGAAGCCCGCACACCTAGAGCCTGTGCTCCACAACAAGAGAAGCCACCACAACAAGAAGCCTGCACACCTCAACGAAGAATAACCCTGGCTCGCTGCAACTAGAGAAAGCCTGAACACAGCAACAAAGACCCAATGCAACCAAAAACAAATAATAAATTAATTTTTTAAAAAAATCTAGCAGAGAAGACTCACCCCATCTAGCAGAGAAGACTCACCAAAGAATAACCATAATATAAAGCAGGCTATAGGGACTTACCTGGCGGTCCAATGGTTAAGACTCTGCGCTCCCACCGCAGGGGACCCGGGTTCGATCCCTGGTCAGGGAACTAAGATCCCACATGCCGCATGGTATGGCCTGAAAAAAAAAAAAAGCAAGCTATAATGAGTGCTATAATAAAGATACAAAAGTGCAGAAAAAAATAATAGGGTTGTTTGCTTTGTTTTTTCAAGGACCATGAATTTTAAAAATTTACCGAGGCATCCAGTGAGGGCAAGGGCTAATTGACAATCTTCAGAGCTTAGAAACAACAAATGAAATGAAAACAGGATTCCTCGTTCCCAAAATAAAACATACTGAATCATGACCACAGACACCTTCTCAGCACTCCTAGAAATGATCTAAACATATCTTCTTCATTTATGACCTGAAAAACTCTGTAATAGGTCAAAGTCTAGAGAAGAGACTAAAATAAAATCTCATCATCTTTTCACTCATCATTCTTTTATCTCTGTACCTCAGCCTCCCAAGTCGTTAAAGCCTTCATTTCTAGATTTCTGCAACAAGAAAGGCTTTTGCCTATTGACCAACCTGAAATGAGTCAGGATAATAGCGTTCCACAGACACTTGAAGGTGTTTACTTTTCACATCTGTTCACTCCACAAACATGTATTAAGCACTTGCCATGTGCCTTCTATTGTGTCAGACTCTGAGAGCAAGAGAAAAACAAGACATGGTCCACAGCCTCGATGAGGCCGGAGCCTAGTGGTGGGAGGAAAGGAGGAGGAAACAAATGAGTACAAAGAAGGACATCTGAAAGTGATAGATGCTGTAGTGGTTTATGCCCAGGGGATTATATGAGCATCCAAATACTACTTCTTGTGCACAAGGCTAAAGAAAGAAGGCAGAAAATCAACAAATAGTTTAGAAAAAGTCAAGTAGTCTAGTACTTGAGGTTTGGTTTCCTAAGTAACCTCTTACTTCTAGTCTCCTTCCTAATTCATCTTTCATCCTGCCACTAGCTAATACTCCTAAAGTTTAATTCTAATTGTGTTAATCCCCTGCTCAAAGACTCACAGTGCTTCTCCTCTTTTTTTTTTTTTTTTTCTGGTACGTGGGCCTCTCACTGCTGTGGCCTCTCCCATTGCGGAGCACAGGCTCCGGACGCGCAGGCTCAGCTGCCATGGCCTCTCCGATGGCCCAGCCGCTCCGCAGCATGTGGGAATCTTCCCAGACCGGGGCACGAATCCGTGTCCCCTGCATCGGCAGGCGGACTCTCAACCACTGCGCCACCAGGGAAGCCCCCCTCTTGATTATTAAGCGGAGTCCAGACTCCTTAGCATGGCACCAAGCACTCCAAAACCCAGCCTCCACCTCTGTTCCAGCCTTGCTTATTTATTCAACTCATATCTAGTAAGTGTCAGGCACTGTTCCGGACAAGAGAGATACTAGGGAAATAAGACCGTCAAGATTTCTAGTTTCATGAAGTGTACGATAAGCTACGAGAGTATGTCGGGAATTCCCTGGCCGTCCAGTGGTTAGGACTCTGTGGAGCTTCCACTACAAGGGGCACGGGTTCAATCCCTGGTCGGGGAACTAAGATCCCACAAGCTGCATGGCGTGGCCAAAAAACAGACAAATAAAAAAATAAATAAGCTACAAGGATATGTTGTACAACACGAGGGATATAGCAAATGTTTTAAAATAACTATATATGAAGAATAACCTTTAAAAATTGTGAGTCACTATATTGTACATCTATAACTTATATAATATATATCAGCTATATTTCAATCTTTTTAATGTCAAAGAGAAATTTTTAAAAAGTTCCTAGTTTCATAGTACAATAGTAGAAGGGAGATCAATTAAGCAAGCAAGCAAAAATTTCAAATGGTGATAAATGCTGTGAAGAAAAAGGAAGCTGAGTGACAGACGACAGCAGGGGAGTTTTGCTAGAGCATCAGAGCAACTGACATTTAAGCTGAGACGTGAATAACAAAGCGCAAGCCATGTGACCCTCTAGGGGGTAAGGGTGTCAAATAGAGGACCCAGCCAAGACAAAGACCTGGCGTAACCATGAAGCAGACCACAGAGGGCAGGTTATCTGATACATGGGGAAGAGCAGTGTAAGAAGAGGGTGGGGAGGGGACATGCATGGACCACTGAGGTCTTGCAGGCAAGGGGAGAAATCTGGATTTTCACTCCATGTCTGATGAGAAGCCATTAGTAGATTTTAAGCAAGGAAGCAAACTAATGTGATATTCAATTTCAGTGGGTCAGTTACAAGGGATGGCAGTGGGGCAAGGGATGAAGCTGAGAGCCCAGTTGGAAGCTGAGGTCAAGTTCAAGTGAGAGATGATTGTGGCTTGGACCAGGGTGGAAGCAAGAGAGACAGACAGATGAACTGAGTCTTGGTATGTCGGGGATGTAGATCACCAAAATGTACTCTGGGATCACACGTGAGGGAGGCAGAGGAAAAAGAGTGAAAGACTTCAGAGGTGACTTCGAAGTGCTTAGCTTGAGTAAGCAGGCTGACAGTGGGGCCATTTACAGAGTTGCTGTCGTGTCCTCTTACGTGTCCCTCAAGCCCCCAAACACTAGAGTCAAACTAGATCACATGTCACCTCTTGAGCACACCCTACTCTTTTCTAGTATGTTTCATTGTCCATTTCCTTCATTTCTGCACTTTCAAACCCTAGACATAGTTCAAGATTCAAAGCCAATGTTCTATTTCCTGCCTTTGTCTGCTGAAATTCTCTCTTCTATTCACAATGCTTTTTGTATTACAGTTACTGCATGTATCCCATTGCACCTTGGATTTGTATTATTAATATTAGTGTATTAATAGTACATAGTATATTAATATTATTGCGTCCAGATATGCCACCTCAACCCATAAACCATAAGCCCCATCTGCGACCAGCTTTTCTTCATCTTTCTGTCCTCCATGAATCTTTGCATATCCACAGACATTTGTTGAAGGTAGAGACGGTACAGATAATATTGTCTTCTAATCTTTGTTTACTTCTTCAGTCCCAGACTGCCTTATGATAATTCTTAAGGAGATTTGGGGGATTATTCTATTGCCCGGAGGAGAAAGTCAAGTTTGAATAACTTGCCTAGGTGACACCAACGTGCCAGAATTAGAATTCATATCCTCGGAGTCTTACAATATTATAGGGAGCCACGTGGATTACATCTATTTCCTCTTCAGATCCCTATGAGACTACACAGTACCTTATTTCATCAAGCCTAAAATGCCAATTCTAAGAGCCAATATTATTTTATGGAACACTAAAAAAGAAAAAATGAGGTCAGTTAAACTTTGACACCTGCCCAAACACCATCTGTTACAAGGGCATCCTGATTTCAGAGATGGTAAAGTGTGAGAAAAAAAAAAAAAGTGCATCTTAGAACTCTCCATTTTATAAGTGAGGAAACCAAAGCTTAGAGAGAGTAAGCACCAGCCCAACATCAGACACCAGGCAGGTGGCAGAGTTAGGAAGCAAACTCGGGTCTCTTGGCTCCAAGAAATGTAGTCTTTACATGTTAGCGGTGCACCCTCGTCTGTGTCTCCTGGGCTTTTCTAAGGAGGCACAATCACAACAGGTGAATATAAAGAAATAAAGATCCAACGCACAGCCCAGGCTGAATCTGTGTTCTACGTAGCACAAAGCCCACAATTTCCTGGCCTTTACTGAAATTAGGAAGGGAAATGTCTGGCTGAGCGCTTTCTTGTGTTTTTTTTTGCGGTACGCGGGCCTCTCACTGCTGTGGCCCCTCCCGCTGCGGAGCACAGGCTCCGGACGCGCAGGCTCAGCGGCCATGGCCCACGGGCCCAGCCGCCCCACGGCATGCGGGATCCTCCCGGACCGGGGCACGAACCCGCGTCTCCTGCATCGGCAGGCGGACTCGCAACCACTGCGCCACCAGGGAAGCCCACCTTTGCCCTCTTTTGCATAGTACAATAAAGTGTTATAGAAAAGGCAGCACGGGTTTTAAATTTTCTCCTTGTCACTGGGTGCTGTAATCACATAATTAACCAAATGCTAGAGATAGTCATTTATAGCAAATGGGCCAAACAACCGGAGAGGTGAGCTACCCAGGGACCCAAAAGGTTACGATCGGCCTCTCAAAAAGCCACGTGTGGACAGAGCTGCACCATTCCTGGGCTGTTTGGAATCTGACACCCAAAGAAGGCAGGATTAGAGTAAAGCAAGGGCATGGAGTTTGTCCTTCAGGACAAACGAATTGCTATCATCTCAGTGGTTTGGAAAGCCCTGAGGTGATGGGGAGGGTACAGGAACCCGGGGCCAGAGGCCACAGCTCTATCTGTGCTCCTGCACTGCCCTCCATCACTTCATCCAGGATGCGAGCTGTCTGGATAAGCGCCTTTGCTCAGGCCCCTCCTTCTGCCCGAGGTGCCCTTCCTGCCAACTGCATTCCTCTTCCTTCAAGCACTGCCAACCACCTCACCTGTGCCCCGGGGCCCTTCACTGCTACCACTAGTGTAGCATTTGCCACAGCCTATCTTGGAAACAAGTAACAACAGCAACAAGTAACATCTACAGTGTTATTATATACAGTACAATTCAATATATATACACATATATAGAGCTAGTATATATACATATATAAATATGTATCTATTTTATATATTTATTTATATATAGCTATTATATATATAAATACATATATATATTATATATTTATATAAAACTATTATATATACATAAATATGTATATATATATTTTATATATTTATGTATAGCTATTATATATACATATATGTAATATATATAATTTTACCATCTACAGAGTTATCATATATAGTACTACTTTATATATATAATATATATAACTATTATATATAGATATTATATGTACATATATAAATATGTATCTATTTATATGTTTATTTTTATATATTTTTATATAGCTATTATATATACCTATATGTAATATATATAATTTTACCATCTAGAGTTATCATATATAGTACTACTTTATATATATAAATATATATAGCTATTATATATACATATATATCTATTTATTTTTCTATATAGCTATTTTATATGTATATATAATT